CCAGTTGGATTTTTAAATTAAACTGATTCAGTTTTTGGAATATTTTTCGAAGATGCAAAATGTGTTCGTCTAGGGATTTTGAAAAAACAATGATATCATCCATATAGACAAAACAAAAAACGTTGATATATTCTAACAATACAGTATTCATCATACGTTGAAAGGTAGCAGGGGCATTTTTTAACCCAAATGGCATACGGACATATTCATAGTGGCCATTTTCAACAGTAAAAGCCGTTTTTTCTATAGACTCAGGATCCATAGGGATCTGGTGGAACCCTTGTGCCAAATCAATAGTAGAAAAATACATGCTTTTGCCTAAATTTTCCAAAATTTCTTCAATTAGTGGGAGTGGAAATTTATCTTCAATTGTTATTTCATTCAGTTTTCTGAAATCAATAACCATCCTATATTTTTTAACACCGGATGCATCCATTTTCTTAGGAACTATCCAGCAGGGTGATTGATAGGGTGAATTGCTTTGTCGAATGATTCCATCATTCAATAACTTGGAAACTTGATTTTGGATTTCCTTTTTGAGATGATAAGGATATCGATAATTTTTTACATAAATTGGGTCTTCATTTTTTAACCTAATTTTGTGTGCAGTGGCATTACAGAGAGTTAATGGTTCGTTAGGCTTGAAAAATACCTGTTTGAATTGCTTGCAGAGCTTAATAATCTTTCCTTTTTCTTCAATATTCATATGAGACGTACGAATTAAATTTTCAACACGTATATTGGATTTTTCAGTAGAAAATGGAGATTCTTTTTCAATTAGAAAATCATCAAGAGGTTCAGATAAAAATGGGTTGGAAACATCAAGAAGATTTATGTCAATTGGATATTGAATAGCATTATTTTCTACGTTACAAATACATTCAGGAAAATATTCGTCAGAATTTTTGAATTTCAAAGGTGGAATAACAACAGAACCATTATCCAAATTTCGGATAATTAATGATTTTTTCGGGTAACTATACTGAACTGGATTGTTTTCTCGAATTGGCTTAAAGGAAGTGTTATAAGTAATTTTACATTTATCAGTAATAATCTGATGTTTAGTCAAATCAATAGAGCAATTAAGCTTTTGTAAATCATAGAATCCTAATAAGCAGTCATAACGTGAATGCCAAGGAAGAATTAAAAATTCAATTTCAGTTTTATTCTTCCATTCAGAAAATATGGGAATTTTACAGGCATATTGACCTCTAAAATTGGACGTACATGAATTAATTTCAAAAGGATGATCATAAATACGATCTGGAAAATATTTAAAAGCAATTTCTGCATTGATCAGGGAGGATGATGCACCAGTATCGATTAAGATGATAAGATTAAACTGAGAACAAAAAATATACGGAAGGTGGGTTTTTTGATAATTATTTATATCTAAGTCAAATTTTGAGACTGGCTCGTCGAAGGAAAATTTTCTTCGTCATTGTTTTCAAAATAAGATTCATCGGGGATATAGTCTGAATCGAAATCTTGGGTATATTCCTCAGATTCATATTGTGGCGTTCCTGCAAAGGTTTGTTCTTCCTCATTTTCAAGATGAGTAATTTCTTCGACATAATAATGGTTTGGTTTGGGACCTACTTGAAAGGCATTAACTCTAGTGGGCATTTGTTGACGATATGGGTTTTGCTGGGGTTTCGGTGTGCGTGCTGTAGATACAGACATAGGTATAGGATTACTTTTTTGTTGACCTGGAATGGGTTTTTTGGAAAAAACATTCTGTGGTGGTCTGAAAGCTTGAATGTTTGTAGGGTAATGAGGTTTAAAATTTTGTTTAGGTGGTGGTAGTTGCGTGGGACCTGTAGGGAAGGTTTGTTGTGGCTCTAGCCAAGTTTGACTATTTTGGGCTCTAAACTGATTGGGCTTTTGAGAAAAATTAAAATTAGACCTTTGGAAATTTTGATTTGAAGCTTGTACTTTATTCTGAGACTGAGGCTGTTGTCGTTTATATAGGCTCGTTCTTAAGAAATTTTTGTAATCAACTTGCATTTGCAAATTATCATAATCACGACAATATTGAACACAAGAATCAATTGTAGTAGGATTTTGCTGTCTTACATAAGACCTATATGGTTCATTCAAACCAGAGATAAAGGAGCTCAAAGACTGTCTATCATAGTCTCTCAATTTAAAAGCGATATGATCGGGATTATCATGGTATTCTAAATTTGCAAATTCTTTCAGGCTCTGTACCTTAAATTTAATTTCTTGATAAAAATCTTCATATTTTTGGTTAGGTTTCTGAACTGACGTATATAAGGCGGTGAGAAGAGTTTCTTCATTTCTAGGATCTTTATATTTGGATAATAATAATGATTTTAAATCTGGCCAGGTTCTCGGACTAGTTAGATGCACTAAATCTCTTACTTCGCTTTTCAGCTGAGAAATAACGTATTGGAAAGCATACGAAACAAAAGGTGTATTAACAAATTCTGCAATAAACTTTTCTGAATTATCCAAAAAATAAATTAGATCTCTGTGACCTCCATGATATTCTGGTACCATATATTTAGCTACATTGAATTTAATTTGTAAATCTTGAAGAGACATGGTTAACTGATTAAAATTAAGACGTGAGGGTGTCAAAATAACTTGTCTAACAGGTGTATTTTCGACTACAGATTCAAATTCAGAATCGGACATTAAATATATGCAATTAAAGTCACTAAATAAGTTTACTTATAGATAACTTTTACGAGTATATATAAATGTAAAGTAATAGAGGGCGAAAAAGTTTCGAGAAATAAATGGAAATATCACTGAGTACAGCAAAAATTGTAAATGTTGTTTCTTACGCTACACTGGGCACTAGCAGCTTCATTTGGAGAGATCTGAGATACCTCCTTGGGCCAATACAGCTCCTCCTGGTTGACAGCTTGCCTGCCGTGGATCCAGCACCTCGCTCCTGTCAGTTCCTGTCGTTTTCTCAAGTGTCGTTGCCTGCTCCCAAAATACTTAGCAAGTATTTCGGCCTGGTACTTCGATGGTGATGTGCCTGCTCGGTGTAGCCTTCGAAGTTCTTTGTGATCGACGTCAAAACGATTGAAATCGTACCCGAACACACCGGACGATTTTTTGCACTTTTTCGGTCTCGATTGAGCGATACTCGTGAATCAATACCGCCGATTATCGATTCGGTACGCCGATATCCTGTTCGCAGCGCCAATTAAGAATGTGCAAACAACGAACGACTTTTTAAAAAAGCGACTTTATTTAACAGAAGACGAATGAGTACTGGTCACCTTGGTTTACATGCATCTCTTACTTATAACCTACGCTAGAACAAAGGAATTGAAAAGTGCAAACCTAAGCAACTCTACATATTAGATCATCATCATAGCAGTGCCGTAATTTGCACAAGATTTAGCGTTGTTGTTAGCAGGTCTTATTTCATAAAAATAAATTAAGTTGTTATTAAGTTTTTGATGTATATTAATGGAAATCACAACTTTGATGCACACGTAATCATAACGTATAGAGTACCAAATTTAGTGGAATTCAGAAAAAGGAAAAATTAAACGTACCATACCTCAGCGGAAAAAAGATATTTGATCTCAACAGCATTTGGTTCTTTGAGATAATGTCTATGGTTAAAAAAGGCTGCATATCCTCATATCGTCGGTCTCCGCATGTACCGGCGTAACTAACATTTTACAAATTTTACAGGAGAGCTAGAAAACGAAAATCAGCAATAAATGAGATTGAAAGTGACATACTGATTTTTCAGTCTGAACGATGCTGTTTCTTTTTGTTAGACTAAAGTGATGTAGAACCAGTTTTAACGCAGAGGCGTAAATCTGTTTAAGCCGGTACGTGAAAATTGTTTTCGGAAGGCAATTTTCTGAAAATTTTAATTCTTAGCAGCAAACTGATATACAGCTACGTCACTTCGTAAAGTAAGAGACTACAAAAAAATCTGTGAAATTACGGCGTAACTCGATTTTAGATTATTTGTTATTTACGCCTGTACGTGCGGAGACCGACGATATAGTTAAACAATAGCTATTTTTGCACAATTCGGACCGCGGACTCGGATTAAGCCCATTAAAGACCTCTGTCCAACTAGCAAAGTAGTGGTATAAACTTTTGGTAAAAGAACCGTTCAGCCATAAAAGCTCTCTATTGTTGTTGCCTGAACACCAAAATGCTGGCTTAATGTTGTGTGGAATGCAAATTTGCTTTCTGAAACATATTTGCTCTAAAATGAAGTGTTTAAAATATTCTTATAGCATAGTTGTACAACACCTTATAGGGCAAATTTTTAACTGTTGCATAAACGTTTATACAACTATTTTATACTGCATATTTGTACGTTAGTCAAAATGGTTGTATTGTGGCATCCATGGTAACGTTTATAAAACAAACCCGAGCCTTGTTGTTTTGCTGTGCATATTACTACTTTAGCCAACAAGTTGCTCCCAACGCAAGTACTTATACAACTGTTGTTTAGTAACTGTTGGCTGTGCATATGCTTAATATGTTGGTAAACAACTTCACCATAACCTAACTTTCTGCTGTCATATTTTTTTAAAATGCCATAATCAATGTTTTAAGACAAACAACGTATGCATATCGGTTCAAAAGGTTTTATCAACTGTTCAAACAGAAGATATAGATCTGGTACAAATTCTGGGTAAATCATTCGACTCTGTCGGTATTTCATTTCAGACATTTGTCAAATTGTTGTATAACACCTGCAGGCAACACCAAAATATTCTAATAACCTAAAGACAACATGGGCGATGCCATGATTGTACACAACCACCCGCCATATTGGGCAAACATTTATTCCTCTATTTAATATTAAATAATTATGTTTCAGTTCGAAATTACAGATATAAGTGATAAACATTATACAATGCTGTTTAAGGAATACTGTATAATCATTCTTGCAACTCTAATAGGAGTGATAATTGTTAGTTGGGTGGTTTCTGCGTAAAAATCTTGTCAGTATTATAATTCAACTAAATGATGATTCTAACCTTTTGAAGAAGATAAGGCCTATTGTCGATTTCTTCAGGACTAAGATTGTTGTTGGCACCATGCTGTGTGGCCTCGATGGGCTCAGCTCGATTCGCCTTGAGCACCCTCACGGCCTGCAGTCTTCTTCTCAGGTTTTGGAGCGTACGAGCCTCCTCGCGTTTACGGCTCGGCTGCAAAAAACCGAAAGAAAAAATAACGAGCGGCCTCGTTAACGGAAATGGGAGACCTGATGAAGGAGTTTACGGATGAATTAACTCACAAATTATGTGCCGTATACATAATATACGGGGTGATTCAAATGGCAATGACAGTACATCTAGAGGAGAAAGAACATCCAAAAAGTAATACAAAGTATCCAATGTTTCATCGCTAAGATATAGGGTGTCGCACATGTCTGCGTCACTGGACATTAATACTCTTTAAATAGCGTTTTAGTGAGATCGCAATTGCTGCATAGGCTAGGTCATTTTAGCTATCAGAAACTTATAAAAAAACCTAAGTCGTGTACGTTTTAAATTGCAGGCTTTAAGCAAATCGGAAAAATCTACACCCTGTGTAACCATTACTACAAACTTCTTTATTTATAGACGGAGTGACCATGCCGCCCATATTCCGAACAGCACAATTTGAACGATCGTTCAGCTACCAAATTTGTTCCATTTATAACACCCTTCCGGTATAATATAAAACTCTGAGCATCTCAAGTTTCAAAACTCAATTAAAAAAATATCTATTATCCCAGCAGTAGTAACAATGTTTCAGGAAAATATTGATATGAATATGATTAATTTTAGTAGATGTATTAATGTAGGCAATGCATATATACATTTAATATTTGTAATGTGTAGAATAAGTAGGTCTCACTCACCTTTTGTACGGACTTTTTTTTATAGCGGGTTAAGTGGAAGAGCAGCTACAGCTGAACTTCGCCCGTATTTGGCTATTTTTTTATATAATCAGTCCATTTGGAAATAAAGACGTTTATTATTATTATTATTATTATACACCTACAGCCAACATGCTGCTCATTTATGGGGAATGTACATGCAAACCTAGTGCTGCAGCTAGACTTTATCGTGAGAAGTACCCAAATGCTGCTCGTCATCCCGATGACCAAGTGTTTGTGAATGTGAACCGTTTACTCTCAGATGGATGATTTCCAAATCAAGCACATGGTGAAGGAAGAATTTCCTTTCCATACGAGGACATCGTACTACAAGTAGTCGAAGAAGATCCGAGAACTCGGTACGTCAAATAGAAGTAAGCACGGAACTGCTCAAAAGTACAGCCCACCGAATCTTTTAAAAAAACGAGCTCCATCCATACCACGTACAACCAGTACGATCTCTACAACTCCAGGATTATCTTCCGAGAGTTGAGTTTTGTCAAGCAATGTTACAGAGACACGGGAGGATCCGCGATTTTTACAGAAAATTTTTTTGGACTGATGAGTCGACATTTAAAAAAGATGGTTACATGAATCTACACAACTTACACGAGTGGCACATTTGATGAGAGAACACAGTATCGTTTTACACATGTAACATATGGACCGGGATTCTAAATGGGGAAATCATTGTATCCTTTGAGTTCAGAGATCTTGGATGGCAAAATTTACTTAGATTTTCTACAAAATCATTAAACAATTTTATTGGAAAACGTGCCACTAAGCATTTACAGAGCCTTGGCTTGGCCAGCCCGTTCACCTGACTTAAATCCACTCGATTTTTTTACTGGGGAGCAGTGAAATAAATACGAGGCTTGCCCGTAAAATAAGTTCCACGGGCTGCCGCTGGCGCTAGGATCGTTTCTATGCACAGCCAGGCAACAGAGGCAGATTGTTTGGTTCCCCCACTGCAATCCCTCACCAAGCCAGCATCGCTGCGATGTTTAGTCTTGGCTCAGTAGCGATGGAGCTTCCTCTTGCGTCTCCCTCCAGCTGCGAGTTGCGGTCTGTTATTCGTTTCCTGGCCGCTAAGAAGAAATCGGCGAAGGAAATTCACGAAGAACTTTGTCAAGTGTATGGAGAAGACTGTATGAGCTGCGGGATGGTGCGCAGATGGAGCCCGTGCAGGGCGGCCATCGGTTTCCGACGAAACAATTGCCAAAGTCGAAGCGGCAATGCTTGAAGATCGACGGATTACAGTTCGGGAGCTGTGCACAAAGATTCCGGAGGTCAGCAAAACCACAATTGACAAGATTTTGACTGAACATTTAGGCTATTCAAAGGTCTGCGCAAGATGGGTACCAAGAATGCTCACTGCAGACCACCGGCGGCAGCGGGTTGAAGCGGCCCAAGAATTTCTCGCTTTTCACGGAACAACCGAAGAGGAATTTCTGGACTCTATTGTTACTGGTGACGAGACCTGGGTACACTACACCACACCGGAAACAAAGGAGCAATCGAAGCAGTGGAAGCACTCTTCTTCACCAAGAGCAAAGAAGTTCAAACAAATCCTGTCTGCCGGGAAAATCATGGCTAGCGTTTTTTGGAATCGAAAGGGCATATTGTTGTGCGAGTTTATACCTCGCGGGACAACAATCAATGCTGACCGGTACTGTAAGACCTTGAAAAAACTTAGACGTGCCATTCAGAACAAGAGAAGAGGAATGCTGACGAAAGGAGTGCGTTTTCACCATGACAATGCCCGACCGCACACCGCCAATCGAACCACAGCCCTCATCGAAAGATTTGGATGGAAAATGGTGTCTCACTCACCCTACAGCCCAGACTTAGCACCAAGTGACTTCCATCTCTTCCCTGAGTTGAAGAAAAACCTTGGCGGAACCCAATTCCAGACAGATGAAGAGGTGCAAAACGCGGTTGTTAGTTTTCTACACGGACAGGCGGCAGAGTTCTATGACTCTGGTTTGAAGAAGTGGGTGCCTCGAATGCAGAGATGCATAGAACGCAACGGCGATTATGTAGAAAAATAAAAGAAAGACTGAACTTTCCAAAAATGTATTTTCTTTGCAATTAAACCAATTTTTTGATATGAAAAAAATTTGTGGAACTTACTTTAGGGACACGCCTCGTAGATTACTCAAAGCCAGCCGAAAATTTAGCTGAGCTACGGGATAGAATAACGGAAGCAGCTGAATTTGTAAACCCGTCTGATAACCCGATAATTTTTAGGATATCAAGCTTGCATCGCTGATGAACGAAGGCAGCTTAAACATTTATTGTGAATTTAATAAATACATTTACGAATTAATAAAAGTGGCGGTAGTATTAGTCTATTTGTCTTGCTGTGACTACGTAGAATAACATTGTCTGTCACTCCGTCTAAGAACAAATAGAAATTTGTAGTAATGAGAACTAAGAGATCATCACAAGGTGTAGATCTTTCCGATTTTCCCTTTTTTTTTAAGCCTACTGGTAGTCCCAGGAGTACCCGGTCTGACCTAGAGATGGCGATAGTTGTTTGAAAAATATCATTGTATTAGAAAGTATGCAACCTATAAAGCATATGTGTCAAGTTTGAAGACGCCACGTTGTTTAGTATTTGTTTGGCAGCCATCAATACTGAACGTTTTCAGTGAATTTGTGAAAATGGAGAAAACTGGTCATTGTTATGTGGTACAATACTTTTATTTCAAAGGCCTAAGCCCAACCAATATTAAAGCTGAACTGGATTCTACTCTGGGTGAGTCTGCTCCTTCGTTTACAACAGTAAAATATTGGGTAGCAGAGTTTAAACGAGACCGTATCAGTTGCCAAGACGAGCATCGCAGTGGTCGACCAAATGAGGTGATGAGGTGACGACTCCAGAAATGGTGAAGAAAATTCACAAAGCGGTACTGAATGATCGTCGACTGGAAGTACGCGAGCTAGCAGACATAGTAGGCATTTCAAAAAGTGCGGTTCATCGCATATTATCTGAAAATTTGGACATGAGAAAGCTGTGTGCAAGATGGGTGCCGCGATTGCTCACAATCGAGCAAAAACAGTGTCGTGAAGATGTTTCAATTGAGTGTTTGGCGAAGTTTCACAGCAACAAAGCAAACATGGGTCCATCACTTCAAACCCGAGATAAAATAACAGTCAAAACAATGGACTCAAAAGGGACAACCGGCTCCAAAGAAGGCGAAGACCATTTCATCTACAGGCAAGGTTATGGCGTCGGTTTTTTGGGATGCACGTGGGATAATTTTCATTGACTATCTTGAAAAACTTAAAACTATGAACGGCGAGTATTATGCGAACTTGTTGCAACGTTTGAGCGATGAAATCAAGCAAAAACGGCCGCATTTGGTTGAGAAGAAAGTTTTGTTTCATCAAGGCAATGCATCAGCTCACAAATATTTTATTGCAATGGCCAGAATTAACGAATTAAAGTTTGAATTGCTACCTCATGCACCCTATTCACCAGATTTAGCTGTCCCTCAGATTATTTTTTGTTTCCAAACTTGAAAAAATGGCTCAGTGGTCAAAGATTTTCCAACGATGAAGAATTGATGTCGGCAGTTAATGGCTATTTTGAGGAGCAAGACAGTTCTTATTATAAAAAGGGTATCGAACTTATTGAACATCGCTGGGAAAAGTGTAGGTATAGAGCTCAAAGAAGATTATGTTGAAAATCAAATACATTTTTTTACAAAAATTTTGTGTTTTCTTCATTGGGTCGGGTACTTCTGGGACCACCGTATAATTTGAAAAGTACATGGCTTAGATTTTTTATATTTTTCTGATAGCTATTACGACGGCCTATCCCCCGTTTCCGGCTTAATGTCGACTTCTGAGACACCTGTATACAATTTCAATTGTCAAGCTTCACTATCTCCAGCATATTTTCAAAGTCAATGCTGAATGCATGCGAATGTTCTAAATAAATTTTATCTATTCAAATCCAATTTTTTCCACAGGGTTTTAAAAGACGGTGGTTTAGGACAGTGATGTATCTTGAATTTTTTTGATCATGCAGTCATATTCTAAATTTAGGAAATGCTTCAAAGAGTTTTTCTCTTCTCAATCCTCAGCTAACAAAGTTTAAAAATAATGTGAGATGAATAAGGCACCCGCAGGGTTATTACAAGACCGATAAAATGTCAACTTGTTGACTAGGTAGCTGCTAGTGTGCAAATACATAGTTCATTGAAAACCTTGATAATGTCAAATTGTCATAATGTCACATTGCAGGTTACTTAAGAAACACCCCTGCGGAGCTCCTTAAAGAAAACTGTAATAGTCGTACCCAAATTGTCACGTTAGGCTGCGATTACTATTGATGCAGATTCTGATAAAAAAAAATTGACGAGGTCTGATTAATTTGCACAAATAAATAATCATCAGTTTTTCAATGAAAGTGCTTACACTGGCGGCGACCAGCGCGTCAAAGTACCCACGACGTCATCGAAACCATTTGCTTTTTTCGTACGACCTGCGTCTTGTTTGCGTACTAACTTGGTTGTTTCATCGCGGACAACAATAAATTGATCACTCTTGCGTGAACAGTGTACTATGGGATATGAGAGACAAGAATTATCAATAATAACCTTTCAATCTCTCTCTTGTCATCTCTACTAGAAAATGAAGGATTGCTCTGTTTTTCCACCATTTAACAATAGTAACTTTAGTAAAGGACTTTCAAGAAAATAAATGTCAGACAACGCGCACAGGGTAAACGCCTTAGTTTGACGAGGATCTCGGACGTACTCTTTAGCCCTAAATTTCGACAGAATTCGTATCCATAGCAATCGTAGCCTTAGCTAGGCGGTGTTAAGGGTAAAGTTGTTTTAGGAAATGGAATTTTCATAGCTCAGTGGAGATTACAAGCTTTTTTCAAAATGGATAACGCGTCTCTTTTTGCATCATATAGCCATCCCATTTGCCAAATGACCGCAATAGGAATATATTGGCAATTATACTAAGTGACATATAAATCCGAACACCCAGTTTAAATGGTTTTATTTTAATAAAATTTTGTATAAGTACTTAATGAAGCATAATAAGTAAATGATAAAAATTTCAAAATGATTGCACTGCTTTAAAGCCCTTTGACCTTTAATAATGTGTGGATGCACCCTGATGTGCTACGCATTCTCCAACGCGCCTAGGCATGCTTCTGATCAGGTGGTCAATGTCTTCCTGTGGTATCTCATTCCAGGCAACCACCAACTCCTCTCGAAGTGCTTCTAGAGTCTGAGGAGGACGTTGCAAATTGAGCAATCTCCTACCCATCATATCCCACACGTGCTCAATTGGGGATAAGTCGGGAGATCTTGGTGGCCATGGTAACAATGTGACATCATTATGTTGAAAGAAGTCTATTGTGACTCTTGCAACATGTGGTCGGGCATTATCTTGTTGGAAAGTTGGATCTGCCAGGGTGTCAAGATAGGGTAAAAGATGAGGTTCTAGAACTTCGTGGATATAACGCTGCGCGTTTATGTTACCTCTGATGAAGATTAAAGGTGACCTGGAACCATAAGCTATAGCACCCCAAACCATAACTGCAACAGTGTGATGAACATGTCTTTCAACAAAAAACTGTGGATTCCTCCTTTCACCACGTCGCCTTCTAACCCTGGCACGACCATCGTGCATGCCTAAACAAAATCGAGACTCGTCACTAAAGTCAATACTGTTCCATTCCTGATCCCAGAGTGACCGTTGTCTGCACCACTCAAGGCGATTACGTCGGTGTTCTCGAGTTAAAGGGAGGACCCAGTGTGGCCGGTATGAAAACAAGCCAAAACTTTTCATTCGTCGGTAAACACTTCGCATGCCAATAGGTCTTCCGTGTTCTGCAAACCATCAATTTGCAATGGACCTGGTAGTGGAGAAACGGTCCCTTAAGGCCAATAATCTTAGGCGGCGATCTTCACGGTCTGTTGTTCTACGGCGGCGTCCAGTGCCCCTTGATCTTTGCGTACGGCCTTCTCGAAGCCATGCCTGACAACACCTAACCACAGCGTCTACACTTCTTTGCACTCTAACTGCAATTGCCCGAAAAGAAAGTCCAGCTTCCCGAAGTCCCACTATACGGCCCCTATCAAACTCACTAAGTTGACGAAATCGTACAGGTCTCCGTACTCTAGGCATCGTAACCGATCGTAAAGGATGTCAAGAACCAAAATCCGCCAACGTTGATCTTTACTGCGGCTGAAATATTCATTTTTAGAGCGTTAGTGAATTAAAAAAAAACAGTATAAAAACCCGAATGTCTAACTGGTAAGGCTGAACATTTTTTAACTTGTTATTTACAGTAAGATAAATACATTCACCAACTTTTATTAAAATAAAACCATTTAAACTGGGTGTTCGGATTTATATGTGACTTAGTATATAAACAATCTAATTTAGAGCAACATTGTCAGAAATTATACAGGAGATTCAATACTGATTTCTATTCCTATAGGAAGGTGATCAAAATTCCAGGATATCGATTTATCAATTTTATGAGGGTGAATTCGTATGCCTTCATGCAATATATAACTTCACCTTTTGCACGAAATTCCTACGACTAGGATATCTACCTTGAACAAAAGATGTAATATTTGGGGTCATTGAAAAGGCACGGCGATAAGAGCTACAACAAATTCTGATAAAAAATTACGTTCTCATGTCAATTCAAAAAACTATGACAAATGACATATTGATATAAGTGGACCAATGACAAGTTGTATAAGCTGAAAATAACTTCTAAATAAGACCTTATACGATTTTTTATGTTAGTTGTGCAACAATATAAAAAGTGTCGATTTTGGCATTGATTTTTTTTACCGTTATTAACAGTAAATCCGCTACAATAAACTGAACAAATGAGATCTCATTTTGTAAGTCTTTTCATCCCTACAAATGTATACAAAAATTTATGTCTGATAATAAGTTACCCATAAGAAATTTTTGTATCTCTAGGAGAATCCTATTAACTTTAACCTCCAAACATTATAATTCTGCTACAATTTTTTCTATGACAAGGTCCATATTTGACTAGTTAGCTTGATATATTGAGTTTACTTTAACTGTCTTGTATCGAAAAAGGTTTGTAATGGATTTTTACTGAACTAAGATAAGATCTCAGAAAAAATGTTAGATGCATTTTTATCATTGACTACTAATGAATCGTAAAAAATCAAAGAAGCAAGTACAAAATAGTTCTTTGGATATTAGTTTATGTGTTTTTCTGTATGACAACGAGTCTTAATTGTCGTCAGTAAATAGTAAATATTTTCCTCAAAATTTATAGAATAACTAAACGACCATGATCCACAAAAAAAGACGAAGAACGTGCTTTACTTTCCGCAGTGTAGAATCACGTGTCACGATGCAGCATCAGCCTTAGCGGTCATCCATCCCACTTCTGATCTCTCACCTGATAACTGGCGGCCGCCGGCAGTTGTGCGAAATGCGGCTCCTGCTGTGCCTGTTGCTGTTTCAGGGTGGCTGCCTGCAGCAATCTCCTGCTGGCAGAATCTGCCATCGCCGGGATCAGCAGGATCAGAAGTCGTGGACAGCATCCCGCCGGCCTCAGACTCCGAACGCCGCCGTCGCGATGCTGATACTGAAAAGTGGACGGAGTCGCGCGTCTCGGGCGTCGTTGTGGCGCAACGCGGCGTCTGTTCGAGAGATCAGGCGAGGTTGCCAAGTCAGATTTCATTTCCCTTGTTTTTTTTTGTTGCCCGTTTGAACACAGAAAAAAAGAATATATCTACATATCTAAAGGAAATAAAGAAAATAAAAAATATAATTCTTGATGGAACATGTTTAACCTGCCAAAGTGCACCTGATGAAGCTGATATCTATTATTTAATCACATGGCTAATAAATCTATTCTATTCTATTATGCAAGAGTACATAATACACTTCAGTTGGCCCACTTAAAGATTTGTACCAAAATATGCCTTTATAAACTAAACATGACGAAACTATTTACTTCTAAAACAATTTATTTTCTCAAAAATATTTTAGAGACACTCTAGTCGTAAAAAATACATATTTGAAATCACTTAGGCCTATAACTAATAGAACATCTGAACAAATAAACAATGTGCGAATAAATGCGCGAAGTTAACAAAGCAACAATTGAAAGATTACCATTGGGTAACATCACCTTTATTTTTTATTGCGGCTGAAATTCTTTGGGACATAGTGTTAACCAAGTTTTGTCAAAAATTTGGTGTAAAACAATCCCATATTGCTTGAAGCTTTTGTCTCAGTTCGGTGATTGTACGAGCAGGATGTTGTCGTAGAACCTTTTTCATCTCGTGTCACAAAGTTTCAATAGGTGATAGATCTGGACTGCTAGAAACCCATTTCAAAAGTGGTACATTATTTTCTTCCATCCATTTTATAGCCTTTTTTGAGGTATGGCACGCTGCACCATCTTGCTGATACACAAAATCTTGGCCAGATGTCAAACATTCTTCCATCACTGGTAAAAGCGATTCTTCTAAAATTGCCAAATATTTGTTTGTATCCATCCTTCCATCAATAAAATGAAGTTTTCCTACTCCTTTTGATGACATACTGACCCAGACCATAATGGATGCTGGAGATTTCACTTTTCTCTTCAGACAGTTAACATGGGAACGTTTCATTTTTCTGGCACGCCTGTTTTTCACGATCATTCTTCTTAATGCTCTTCGGTCGGCATTTGTGAAATTACTTTTTTCACATATTGTGGCTTATTATTAACTGAACCAGTTACGTTATATCTTCTAACAATATTTCTCACACTGTACCGCGATAAGTCTAACAAAGTTGCAATTTCCGAGTTTGATTTCCCACAATTAAAAAATTTAATTATCAGTAACCGAATTTTCTCACTAATTACCTTTCCTCTACCCATTTTGAAAACCTTAACTACCCAAAACCATTTTAAACGTATTCTGACAGCTGTGATTAATAAAAACAATTGTCATGGCTTTTATTTTTCACAGCCACCTGTGCGTTATAGACTTATTTTGCATTGAAATGAAAATAGGTTGATATGCTGTAATTGCAACATGTGTTATTTTTATGCTGCAAATTTGATTAGGGAGTGATAAAGTTGGTGTTTTCTACTATGTATTATCAAAATATTCATTGTTAATATTTTAAGATTTCAATAGTTGGGCCAACTGAAGTGGGAAGGGGCTCGTACGACCCAGAGGGGGTATCTGCAAATTTCGGTCATATTTGGTTTACCTGATACCTAGTGAATTAATAACATTTTCTCTACTCGTTGGACAAAAAAAACAACGGCTTTCTTGAAATCCTAGATTCTTACTTCTCATGCCTACTGGCGAGGAAGAATTGTAATCGCGAAAAATTTCGTGAATGAGATATTATCTTTTTTTAATGTCATATGAGATGCACATCACGTAAAAACATGTCACTCATTTCCGTCGGTCTGTCAGTCTGTATGTCGGCCTGTTTGTCTGTATATGGCTCGGATTTAGATGTAAATCGGTCCAGTGGTGGCGGAAAAAAGGTAAAAAAAAGATAAATAAAAATCAAACTTTGTTTTTTGACATTTCAGATTATCCCGATCATTGACGTTTTTTACGTGAATAGTCGAGAAGGGGTCATCTCTGCCTCGGCGATATCACAATTACGACTACCATATATAGTTTATTGAATATAAATAATCAGATAGGGTGGCAACATTTAAGGCTGTATATACTCGTAGTTATTCAGATATGAAATCACACATAGACGTTCACCAGTCTTCTGCGAATATGAAGAGATGTTGTGGAATGAAGAATGCCTATTTTAGCCTCTTTTCCTCAAGCAAACATTACCCGAGAGTTGTTCTCGATTATTTAAAGCAACGAAACAATATCTTTTCTCCTTATTCTTATATAACATGGCCAGCTGTAAGTTTCCATAGTGAACCAATAGTAAACCTACCAGAACTTAAGAAAGTTTTTCATGTTACTCTACACCGTTAGGCCTCAGATGAATAGGTACATTACACATGCAAAATCCATTTGCCCAGAATTGCGTGGAAAGTGCAGTCAACCTACTTGACACCATTTTTCCTTGATCTGAACGTCAATTTCAGGATGCTGGTGCGGCTGTTATCTGGCCACAACACTTTCCCACCTAATCGCTTGTTTTAGCTCCCGTTTAGAGGTTCCAAATATCTAACACTTTTTGTCTAGCTTTTATACAAGTGTATGTTTTCTGCATAAATTTGGCAACAAGAGCAGTAATAGCGCTTTATGCAGATTTAAGAGACGGGAGGGGGTAGAAAGGCGCGCCGACACGTGCAAACGCTACTCTGACGAAACAAAACAATATCTTGAAAGCCTCGTGCCTGCATGCCGCATACCAAAACAGCTTTTAAGAGGCGAAGGACATTCTTGCAGTAAAACATTAGATTATCTTCGTCTTCTGCTGTAGAATGCAAAAATATTATTCAGAACGTTTTTTATATACCTAGCAGGGCTCCCCGGCTGTTATGAGGAGCTTGAAGAAACTTTGTTAATCCCATTTTCCAATTGCTTAAATTTAGTAGTACTGGGAAAAGCCTTCTCAGGTAGATTTTTCCACAATCTCGGCACTGTTAGGACAAAAAAGCGGTCGTATCGGCCCGTTCTGCATGTTCGAAAAGGTTAGGATGGCAGGGCGGAGTCAGGCGGGTCTATCTGGCAGGCACATTGCGCGGCGGCATCATGGAGGAGAACTATGAGGAGCGAAAGGGTACCGAGACTGTACGTTAGAAAAGAGTTACCGATTAGTCGGACAGCCCTCCACTGAGCAGCATCGAGCATACGAGGTCTGTAAATTAAGTGATGAGACTGATTTTTTTTATTCAATTGTATAATGTTACCCAAAAAATAACTTCCTTCTGAAGCCACACCTCATAGCAGTGCTGTGATACTGGAATAACCTCCAGCTGGTCGGTTACAGCCGTTTGAATGTTTTTGATTGTCCCAAAGTGAGGTGATTTTTCAACTTCGGGAAGAGAAAAGGTCATAAAAGGACTCAGGTCAGGAGAATAAGGAGGCTGAGGAGCGACAGGGGTGTTTTTACTCTCCAAAAACTCATTTATTGACATTGCTGTATGACAAAGAGCATTATGGTGATGCAACACCCACTTGTTCTTGATCTGATGAACTATGGCGTGAGCCAAATCTGACTCTTCACAGACCATTCTGTCAATCGGCGACCTGAACGCACAAGGTCCCGGATTCTGTCAATATTTTCATCGGTTCTTGAAGATGATGGCCTTCCGCTTCGTGGGTCATCCAAAATGCCTTAAACCGCCAAAAAAACTGAGCTCCGGATGCCTGTTTAGCAAGATTTTCCGATGCACTGTGCCTAGGTCTGAAGCAAAACCCCATACCACACCGCTGCTTGAAACTGACGTCAGTCACAATAGAAAAAAATGCACAAAAAAAAATCGCTACGGACAACCAAATGACTCGAACGAATTCAAACTTGTACTGAAGGCGGATCACAAGGTTCCCCTGTCTCGCATCCAAGCTTGGCTCCTCTAGCGCCAGATCAAACACTACGTTGCCAGTCTCATTACTTAATTTACAGACTTCTTAGACAATGTAGTCTGGGCGGCAGCTCCCCAAACATGTGAGCTGTACTCGAGGCTAGGTCTTATCTCGGCCTTGTACAGAGTAAGCAGCTGTCGCGATTGACGAGATTTGATGATGCCAGATCAAGTCAATGATCTAGAATCCTACCAGCCGAAATGAGCAGTTCTTTGGTAGAAGTCGGCTATCCATTGAAACCGGATGAGCACTTCTTGTTAGACAAGGAACAGTGTTTTGAAATTATTACACTGTAACAAATTGTTGCGTCCCCAATCCCCAAGCATTGATAACCTCCACGTCTCTGGTCAAACCTGTTTTGTCAGCATGTGTCGAATAAAAAGCTAAACTGGCATAAGACCATTTTTGTAAATATGAGCCATTCTAGAGCTCAATTTATTTTCTTCGAAAGTTAAACGGAAGTTGAGACGCAGGCGAGTAAGGTACCGTTAGGTGACTTGGACGTCATACTTATCTGGACAGTCGAATAAGGGTGGATTTTGGTTTTGTGACTTGGATGGCGATTTCAAAGTCCAGTTAATCTGGAAGGGTACCGCTTCGTATACAATCCTATATTACTTTTCTGGAACTCCTTCAGTTTTTCATTGAATTTCGAAATAGCAACTCATTTTACAACACCCAGATCCATCCTTAATTTAACTCTGTTTAGACAAGACTCACGTCATTCGACCTCAGGAACCTACGTCTCAACTTATCGTGATCTGAATCTAAGTATGGGGATCAAAGTACATATGGATGCATGAAGCTCTGTAAGATTTTAGGGTCCTAGGTTGAACAATTCGGTCTTGGAGACACTCAAAGTTTTTAGGTTCGATAAAATGTGAATTTTAACGTTTTGGCAATTTTTTATTTTCTCGCTACTCATGTCTCTGAAAATCATCAAGTCTGGCTCATTCTACTATTCCGAAGTAAAATTATCCAGTTACCTTCAAATTGCGATCTGATACCTCGTTCGACAGACATTCAAGACGAAAGTGATTTTTTCGATAATTTGCACTGCTTTATTGGGTTGACAATTCGAATGTCTTCCGAAACAAAAACGCATAAAACAAAGTTTTTTCGTAAAGAAGGACCAACATATCCCGCTATATGAGTTGAATTTTGTACTGGTGCCTTTAACTTGGTCAAACATGACCTTAAATCCAATTTTTTACGTTGTGGACCAAAACTAGCCATTTCAATGTTAATGGAGCACGTGTCTTGTCTCATATCGGGGTCATTTTTTTTAACACGTTCCCTGAAAGAACCGTTCAACCTAGGAATTTGAAAGTCTCATGCCTCCATAGGTTCTCTTCAGAAAAAAATGCGCCTGATATGAGTGCATGATGACCTGCCCTCCAATATCAGGAGAATGGCCGATCTTGGAAAAAATGCGGTCCAATGGCTTATCCAACCAATTTAAAAGCACAAAATTCGATTCATACAATAGAGGGATAGGTTGGTCCCTCTCCTCCCCAATGAAACAGTACATTTCGAAAAAAAAAACACTTGTGTCTTAAATATCTGTTCACCCAGTTAACAGGTCATTTTTGACTTTCCTGGACAACCCTAATTCGGAAGAGTAACATTTTATGGGGTCTAATTCTCTCAAGGGATAGTAGCAAGAAAATTGAAGTCACCAAAACGCTAATCCACATTTTTCCGGAACGTGCTTGTAAGTACTCTCCAAGGACAAAATAAAATTGATCCCGATCTGAGAAATGACCTGCCAGGCAAGATCGTGGAGTTTTAACCCATATACAGCGAGATCCATATACCACGGACGACGTAATGTGCACCGGAGAGAAGAAGTACCATCGGCGCACTCTTTTCAAATTACGTATTGCACGCTTCCGTCTCGTAGATATTACCCCAGTCACAGAGGTAGTCATAACGTTAGTAAACCTCTCAATCCTGCATGTGTGAATTTATTTAGCGGCAGTGAAACATGGATGAGACTCATCAGCAAAATAGAATCACAGCATAATTTGCAGGCCAGACTATATAGTTATCATGTTCTAAGAACATATTAATTCTGAATATGAAAGTGTTTCCGTTTACATTATCTGTCAATTGTTACGGGTCCCACCGTCGAGTACCACCTCGATCGACGGCAAACTACCCATATGAGGAATTGGTTGGTAAAATAAAAGAACCTGAACTTTATAAAATAATATTTACAAAACAAATGAAGCGTTATATTTATAAAAAAGTTCCTAATACTAGCTGTCCTCTTCAATATTCAATAGAATCACAGGATAGTTTTCAGGCCAGACTATATAGTTATCATGTTCTAAGACCATATTAATTCAGAATATGGAAGTGTTTCCGTTTACATTATCTGTCAATTGTTATGGTCCCACCGTCGAGTACCACCTCGATCGACGGCAAACTACCCATCTGAGGAATTGGTTGGTTAAATAAAAGAACCTGAACTTTATAGAATAATATTTACAAAACAAATGAAGCGTTATATTTATAAAAAAGTTCCTAATACTAGCTGTCCTCTTCAATATTGGTTTTCATGATATCATCAACTTGATTCTTGATTTCTCTGCAAATAAGTAAGACATGTATTATTATATTAACTGAATATTATGTAAAGATAAAATGGGTACCTTTCAAATGTCAGATCAGTTTCTCCTTCAAAATGTTCCATCATCCCCATTTTTTTCAACAACTGTAGACCATGTAAAGCTGCGTTTTCTTTAGCTGACATATCATTTTGCTCGTGGCCCAAACAAAGCTGAAAAAACAAACATGATTCAGTTGAGTGATATCAACTTATCAGCAAAAGAATGGCGTGGCGCCGAAGGATAATATAATGTGCGAGACCAATGACCTTCTCAAAAGAGGTATGTATAGAAATGTTTTCACTACTAACACTACATATAACAAAATAGCCGAGTCTGAATCACGATTGTGACGTTTCCAATTCAGTTTACATATCCTTTAAAATATCTAGTTATCTGGTGTCAAAATGACAAATTCAAATTAATGCAACAGACAGCTGATATGGTTAGGACTCGTCCATCAACTGTTTTCTCTTTGTCAACATTAAGCGTTATTTTCCAACATTATCTCGATTATTGGGGTATTCCAACGAATTCAAACTCGGTAGAAGGAGCCAGTCAAGGATTTGTTTGACTTCTTATTCTCATAGTCTGTAGTGAGGATCAAAGTGCACTTGACATAAGTCAATTTCTTGACAGTTCTGTCATTAAATTCGTAGTTTTGGTGTAATTTTTTAAAAGTGCGAGTGTTTGCAGATAATTGTAGTGTTAGGCGATTTCAGACGTGCTACTTCTTACTTTAATTGTAAACAGCAGCAAAAGCCTGATGAAGGTAGATGTTTCCACCAGTAAGTATTATTATTGTGTTGATACAAAGCTGTCACTTTGGTAGGCATTGGTAGACGAATGAGTCAAAAGTATGCACTAAAACTATATAATTTTGGCTTCTATTCTTCGCTGAGAAATTCATGTAGAAGAACTGCATGAGGAGCTATGCTCAAAACTACTTATTTCTCAAACATAGAATATTTAGAGATATAAAGTTGTCAAACTGACACTCTGAATTATTTACCAAGGTGTTTTATTTGTCGTTATATATGTCCAGTGTGGGTCTTTACTCTTAGCTGAAAGGCTCGTCGGTCTGTTAGGTCTGGTTACCCAAATACCAGACAAATTCAAAAGGGAAAGAAGGAAAAAAGAAAACAAGTAAATCAGTTGATGTGAAAAAAGGTTAAGCATTATTGATTTGGCTGCTTGAGTAATGTTAGTTGGTCAGAAATCCACATATCACAGTGTGAGTCGCGGTCTGGCGTGTTTGCGAACTTGCTCTGCTGTGTAGCCTACTGAGCCACGCAACAGAGGGTTGCTTGATTAAAACATTCGGCTCTTATATTGAGATCTTGAAAATGGAGTTTTGAAATCAGTATTTTTGAAGAGTCAAAAAAGTTTACTAAGCTTTTTCGTTTGCCATTCCAATGTCCAGAGCCGAATTTGAAATACGCGGTATATTCTATAGCCTGATTTCAGATACAAAAAATAACTAAAAGTGAAGTACCTACCTTGATCAGTATCGCTGCAAAGGCCATCTTATTTTTTTTATATTTTCAGTTATTAAATGAATATAATCACACTAACTCACATATTCGGGATCTAAATGTATTGCCAGTAAAGAATATTTTCCATCTTTCAAGTCCATAAACTGTATTTCTGTGTTCAAAAAGTTGCTCAATTTTAACATTTTCGTCTGATACGAACTGCCCGGCTTTGGTTTATGCCTTGTTTCTTTTTTATGGTCCTGAAAAAATTAAATTGTATATTGTAATATTGACTAGCTATATAAAATACACGGGTGTTGCATCCTTTGATGCAATGATATAATGTGAAAATGAAAAACTTTTTACATTTCTGTTTTGGTTTCCAGTCTTAGTATCTTCAACATCCCTGTTTTTTCCAAAATTAGATATGAAGCTATCAAAGAGCTGTTCTGCTTCATTCCTAATTTTCTCAAAATTAGTTTTGATAACTTTATTTTTCCTGCCTTTCTTCTTTTTCTTTGGTTCTGCAGTTAAACTTTTTAGTTGGGTTCCTAATGGTAGTGGGTCTAAAGTCTTGATAATTTCTAGCATATTTTCTGCAGCTGCCTTTTTGGATTCCTTTTTTGACGACCCTGAGACAGAAAGGCAATAATCAGAAGTATCATGATGCAAAGTATAGTTTTTAAATGTAGAAAAAGCCTTGTGTTGCTGGGAATCAAACTAATAACTATGGTACTCTGCACTGCAGTGTCTATCATTTATGTGTAAACTATAATAGTGCAAAATGAAGTTTTACCTTCACCAATAGCTCTGCTATCTCCAAAAATGCATTCAGTTACAAAAGTTTTTCTGTGATTCTTCCCAGTTTCACTAATTATATTAAACTCAACACCAATTTTTCTTGCTTGTCCAGCCTCATATATTATAGAAATTGGTGACTTTAGTTTTTGCCTGTTTTGCCTACATTGCTCTTCAGATCCTTTAATGAAAATAAAATAATTCGCAAGTTTAATGATACAGTGGGCAATCCCTACTAATATTATAAACGAGAATGTGTGGATGTTAACCCAAAAATTATAGTTTTGAATAGCACCCATGTTACTTTTTATTCAAGGAAATAACTGTGAAATATATATGTATATTTCACCTTTACAGAACTTGACAGGAGGTATCTGGCGCGGCAGCGCTCAGTTGCTGGTCCGACCGAAATGACTGTTATATAAATAGGGCATTTGCATTGTATATTTACTGCAATTAGACATACGTTTTTTCAGGGCGATCGTCTTGATTTAGATTTGTTTGGTGTTTTGTTTTACTTCAAGTATAATACTATGAATAAAAAGTTATTAGATTAAGATATGCTAAGATATGCCACATAGGCTGTGAGACACTTCACAAATTATTTATTTTCCCGTTAAAATGATGAGTGAAAATGTCCAATGCCAAAGTAACTACATATTACATTTTTTTTTCTCCAAAACAAAACTCGTTTATACTAATACAAAACAAACTTTACACTAGGAGCCCCTTCCCGCTTCAGTTGGCCCAACTATTGAAATCTTAGTTTTTTTCTTATCAAACACAAATAATAAAAATGTAGCAGGGTGTTATAGGTTTAAAATATTAACAATGAATAGTTTGATAATATATAGTAGAAAACACCAACTTTATCACTCCCTAATCAAATTTGCAGCATAAAAATAACACATGTTGTAATTACAGCATTCAAAGCAAAATAACTCTATAACGCATAGGTGGCTGTGAAAAATAAAAGAGATAACAATTGTTTTTATTAATCACAGCTGTCAGAATACGTTTAAAATAGTTTTGGGTAGTTAAAGTTTTCAAAATGGGTAGAGGAAAGGTTATTAGTGAGAAAATTCGGTTACTGATAATTAATTCTTTTAATTCTGGGAAATCAAACTCAGAAATTGCAACTTTGTTAGACTAATCGCGGTACAGTGTAAGAAATATTGTTAGAAGATATAACGTAACTGGTTCAGTTAATATTAAACCACAATATGTGAAAAAAAGTAATATCACAAATGCCGACCGAAGAGCATTAAGAAGAATAATCGTGAAAAACAGGCGTGCCAATTATTTACAATTAAGTGCTCTGTGGAGTGACGCTGTTGGAAGGAGAATTTGGAGGTCCACAACTCATAGAGAGGCCCACAAACTGGGATTTAGCACTTGCAAGGTAAGTTTTCTTATAAAAAAAAAGTGAAGTAAAAACCCTTAAGTTGCACAACTTGTTTATAGGCCAAAGAAAAGCCACTATTAACTCCACTGCAAAAGAAAAGTCGGCCTAGATGGGCTAAAGAACATAGACAATGGACACCTCAACAATGGTGTGCAATACAATGGAGTGATGAGGCCCGATTCGAAGTTTGTGTTGGTGACATTTGCAGTAGAGTTATTCGCAAAAAAAATGAAGCATTCCATGTTGACTGTCTGAAGAGAAAAGTGAAATTTCCAGCATCCATTATGGTCTGGGGCAGTATCTCATCAAAAGGAGTAGGAAAACTTCATTTTATTGATGGAAATGTGGATACAAACAAATATTTGGCAATTTTAGAAGAATCGCTTTTACCAGTGATGGAAGAATGTTTGACATCCGGCCAAGATTTTGTGTTTCAGCAAGATGGTGCAGCCTGCCATACCTCAAAAAAGGCTATAAAATGGATAGAAGAAAATAATGTATCACATTTGAAATAGGTTTCTAGCAGTCCAGATCTGTCACCTATTGAAACTTTGTGACACAAGATGAAAAAGGTTCTATCCTGCTCATACAATCACTGAACTGAGACAAAAGCTTCAAGAAATATAGGATTGTTTTACACCAAATTTTTGCCAAAACTTGGTTAACACTATGCCCCAAAGAATTTCAGCCGTAATAAAAAATAAAGGTGATGTTACCCAATGGTAAACTTTCAATTGTTGCTTTGTTAACTTCGCGCATTTTTTCGCACATTGTTTATTTGTTCAGATATACTATTAGTTAAAGGTCTAAGTGATTTCAACTATGTATTTTTTACGAATAGAGTGTATCTAAAATGTTTTTGAGAAAATAAATTATTTTAGAAGTAAATAGTTTCGTCATGTTCAGTTTATAAAGGCATATTTTGGTACAAATCTTGAAGTGATTATACCTTCTTTGAGACAATGTAAATCCATTTTATCCTTATTCTCAATAAAAAATTCCAAAGCACTGATTGCTGCCTCATGTTTTGCCACTTTTATACTTTGAGCAACTGCATAGAAAACATTATCTTGCCCAACTTCTAATTTCACATGGAATGGACCACTAGTTTCAGGTAGGTCTTTCCTTATATGGAGCTCTTCATCATCAAGAATAGAATCATTCAGCTTCTTGAAATATGTCTTTTTGCCTCTGGCTTTTTTTGCAGCAGGCTCCTGAAGAAAAATTATAAATAATTGTTAAAGAAAATATGCATACTCAAATGAGACTCATCTTTCAAAGTCCAACACTACTACCACTAGTTAACACACAGAACCACAAATAGTGTCTTACTGAACAATATCTGAGCTGAAACCTTATTTACCAATACCTGATCATCATTCATAAGGCTGAACTTTATTGGAATGCCAAGTTTTGTACTTAAATCATTCAGTAAAGCTACTGGAGTTAAACTGCTATCTGGTGGTGGTCCTTCTTTCAGTGGGGGCTTAGCATATGCAGTTTCAGTTATTGCCTGTGATGCAGCACTTTGCTGAGCCTTTTTTAGATTGGTTCCCTGACCTGTATACTTTTCCTCACCTACTGTCAGGGTTACTGTGAATAGTTTTGCATGTGCTGGTCCCTAATGTCAAAAAGAAGATATGATGTCAAGAGAGAGCATTGTTGCTACTTTAGCATCATAGCTGGTAAAAAGCAAAATATATAAACAATCATGGCAACCTTTCACACAGCGCTTAAGATGAATGTCACAATATCAGTAGCTATTAACTGGGCTCCATATCATCGGTCTTAGGGCTGTATTGTCAGTCATTCCTACAATGGGGATGCCTTTATGGCCTCCTTGATTGTCATAGTATTTTCTCTCCTTCAAAAATGTCTGATTGCACCTATTCTGGGTCAGCATTCTCCTATTGTGAAATATTTACTTTTTGAATTGTAGGGAATTTAAGGCTGATAAAATGTGGTATAAATCAAAAGCATGAACAATTTTATGCAAATACATATTTCTGACGTAACTTCAAAATGTAACGCTGACACAGAAAAGTAGAAAACTATGATAATCAAGGAGGCCATAAAGGTGTCCTACAGTTGTAGAAATGACTGACAATATGGCCCTTAATGATCATTCTGTCATCAAAGTCAGTAAATTTCTATATAACCTCATATACATAAAAAATAATCACTGACATCCTGGCTACCAGGACAATTAATATCACATTGTCTGATAAATACAGATGAATTATAGTAAATACTGATCACGTAACATTCACATATCAGCGAAACTTAAAATTACAATTATTATATATACCTCTTCCTTATCCAATACATATTGATATTGTAAATCATTATAAGCAGCTAGTTCATGTAATTGTGACAAAACAGATGCACTGGTCTGATTCTTATGCTTTTTCAAATCTGTTATACTGGAATCCACAAATCTGTAAATATTATCTTCTTTCTTAAAACCTCCCAGTTCAACATTCTGTTCAATGGATGCTAGAGAAGCTAAAAATAAACATACATATTGATGGTGTTTAGATAACCTTGCCCAAATAGATAGCCAATTTACCTTCTATACAACCTGACGATTCAAAGATCTCCGTTATGTGATCAATATTTGAATCACAAGAGCATAGGGATGTAGCAATCAAAGTAATAATTATTCTTAACATCATGTTGGATTACAGAAAAGATAAATAAGCAAATTATCTGTCGTATATAAAAATCGGAAATGATACCACAACGTAAACATAAACAGCAAACGATGCAAAAAAGCAAGGTTGCATTCGTATGTTTCTTATTCTGTGAATCCCTGGGGTTCTTGCCTTGAATTACATCAAATTTAAGATGGCAATATCAACCCCTCTTATGTTTGTACCGTTTACGCTTCTATGATAGTATACGGTTCTAAAATAACTACTTATACTGTTCGATCCTTGTGGTCTTGAAGCTTGGATTCTCAAATCTACTCGTAGTTTTCATTGAAGCCGACACAAAACATAGGTATTATTATACCACGTAAGTATATATCATCATCCACCGGTATTTCTATTCACAGACAGTAAGTGGCATCGCTGCTAAGCTCAGAAGACACCGAAGACACTATAGACAGGAGTCATGGCACACAAAAACAAAAGATTCACAGAGCATAGAATAATGTCACGCTCTGTGGGTTCCACGGGTTCGTCTCGTAAGTCCCAGTTCCGTCCCACTTTTAAGCTTGCGAGTTCCACGATGGTTCGAGTTCCACGGTTTACAAATGTCAAACCACCTAACCCTGCTAACCTTGTACTCTGATGTTCTTTTAAATTGAAAATATTTAAAGTTGCATCAATGAAGATGGCACAGTGATTTATGTGATTTTATTTAAATAAATTCATGTGATCTTCTACAGCCTAAATCAAAGACAATCAACCAATTTTTGATGCACCTGTGCTACTTGTAAACAAAGGTAAATTCTCTTCCTGATTGTAAACATCACTTTATGCATAATTATTGCAAATCTTTTACGCCAATTAATTATAAAACACTATAGTAACTGCCAGATATTTACTTGTTATTATGCATGTGTTTACAAATTTTATTTTGTAGAAACACGCAGAAACAACAAATTAATATGTGTACTCTGAAATAGGTACCTGTTGGTATTGATTGAATGTATGTAACTTCAGTTAGATAGGATTTATTTTATTGATTATACCTATTTAATATATATTCAAGAAAAGTACGAGGTCAAATTGATTTTTAAATAATTGTACTTTTCACATCATGTTGATGTAAATGGATTAAATATTTTTTAACTGACTATATGGATAAAAAAGCTTTAATATTATTGGTTATTCAGTATTTTCATTATGTTTACTGCTTATACTACTATATTATCACTTACAAATCATAGTCTTTGGTTCAATAGCCTAAGGCATATGTTTCTTGAACAATGCTATGGCAATAAAAATATGTTGTTTTGTCAAATTTATTATTGCCCTGCTTATGGAATGCATTTCATCAAGCAATTAGTGAATGCAATGGAAAGAGGTACCTTTGGTCCTTGCCTTGATTATTTCCTAAAAATGTTTAATGGGTAGTTGCCCAGTTGAACGTAATTACAGCTCCAAAAATAGAGCTTCAAATATCTCATTTTCAACTTGAAATGTTACATGTTACACTTGATTTTTTTTGACTATAATTTTTATATTGAGTACCTAAAATTAGGTCATGTTTCATTTGCTTGAGACAATGGAAGACTGGATGGATTTTTTGACCCAAAGTGACCTATATTTTGAGGTTCCTTGTGAGACAGTTTTAAACAATCCTTGCATATCTACAATCTGGGGGTCAATTCTTGAATGCAGTAAATTATAATGTTGATCCCTTGAGAATGATTCTAAATCATAACAGCTGTTAATGTTTAACAAACAAGTTTGTGAATGCATCCATTTTTGGTAAAACAATAAGTTCTTAGGTTCTTCCTATCATTAAAAATTTCATCACAAAACTAATTTCATCTTTAGAATGAGACTACCACATTTTTACTGGTGACTTTTGGAGACATGAGCTCCCGCAGGAATTTTCCTCACAAGGAAAATATTTGTATATGAAACTATGTATCAGCTCTCATAAAACTTTGTAGGGGGTGTTCTCAAATTCTCTCTATCAACATTTTTCATTGGTTAAATCTCACGAAGCTATGACCATGCTACAAATAATGACATGTTAGAAATTTTTTCACTGTTCCACAAAAAGCACATGAAAAAGTAGGAGTTTGCTTGAAAATACTTACTTTTTCCTTTTCTATTGACATCTAGAAACAACCGTCTTAAAGTCCAATAGCTTAAAGTTTCCAGTGACTAATGATGACAAGAATCACAAAATTAAAATTCCAATTTCGCTTGTCGAAACGAGAACATTAATTTGATGTAGTTTTTGACATTTTCGTGCGACACATCTCTATAACGCCCCCTCCCTCTCAGAGTGGTAAATCTCAGATATAGTACATAAAACTATGTTAAATAGTGAAATTTTATGGAGCAGCTATATTCGCAGGAGAGGTAGGGGGGGAGCAGCGGTACACGCCTTCCTGGCCAGATGCCAATGCGCGGGGAAGCGCCTCTTTATAGAATTCAGAAAAAACAGTTCTCTGAACGCTAAGTGACCATGCCCACTTTCTCTCAGCTATTCTCTCCCTCATTTCGAGACCATGAAACCTATGAATGAGCAGGAATAAGTGAGAGAGCGGAAGTGGGCGTTGTTCTCTACCTATCCGGTATTGTTACTACTGAACACTGACAGAAGAGTTTTCCCCGATTTAATCTTGTGAGAAAGAGCGGCAGCAGTCTGTCGTCCATCATTCTCATCTTTAAAGGGCGAAGTTAATGTTGTGATGAACCCTGGGCCCTCGTGATATGAAGAACTATTATTTTGCCGAAATGGTAGCTTCAGAAACTTGTTTTTACAATATATCAGGCAGCTTTCAGAATTAGGATCATTCCCCAGCAGTGTTCTGTTCTACTGCGTTCAAAAATTTAAGGCCTGGATGGAATATCGCTTCCTGGATAAATCGAGTGCGTAGATATGGCGTCAGTAGGCACTGGGACTCAAAGCAGTGTTGCCGAACCGAAAAAGACGAAATCGGTAGACAGTGTCGTTGAAATAAGTATATTTTTGTTTTCGCGTACACAACAGGATTTTTTTTTTTAGTTCTTTATTACAATTTGTACAAACTCCTTTGCAGCCATCATTGAAACTCCCTTTGCCGTTCTTGTTTATAAGATTCTGTATATTTTTCTGTTTCACTCCTGAACTTGAAGCCTTATCACCTGACATTTTAATATTCATTTAAATGCAGAAAAGCTTTGGTTTCCTTATTGGAGTCTGGTGATGCAATAATGACGGTAATCCACCAGTCTTTACGTGTTGTACACAAAAACCAGTATAGAGTGGAATAAAAGGAATGTACGTACATAATTGTAGGAATCCCAAACCTACGCTCTCGTGTGCCCTGACTGCCCCAGTGTACGCTTACGTATGACTGCTATGAGGCATAAAACTACATAGGCTACATTTGTTTAGCTTTATTTTTGGTTACAGTTCTTTTTCGGTAAAAAATCGGGAAATATTGGGCTTATTTTAAAAAAAACGTGGAAAATGAGGACGTTTTCGGTATTTCGGGAAAAAGGTTTCATTTCGGTAGGTTCGGCAACACTGGCCCTAAGTCGCCCATGGAGTCAGAATTTGAATTTAATTGGGCCATAGATTATGCCTTTTCAATGTGTCGCAGAATAGAATGTTAATCTCTTGTATACATTTATAGAACAAAAAAAATAATTTCACAATTTCCTACAACATAAGTTTCTAGAGAGCTCCCCTATGGAGATACAGACCCCCTAGAGGACGCTACTGGAAATTTGGTTTTCTCCAGTAACTTTTGAACGATACAGGCTTTTTACATCTCAATAACCAGTTGGATTCTTATTTGATAGTGTGAATTTTGCTGACATGTTTTACACCTTGCATAATGGTTGGTACCAAAAGCAGCTATATATATTAGCTAATACACCCGCCAGGTAAAATAAAGGCATATTATTATTATTATTATTAATAGGGGCCCAACAAATATGTTTGGAAAGCTTAATGATTTAACTGAAAAAATAAACTCCTGATTGATTTCGACAAAATGAGCCGTCTTTTTACTTCCCACGCCTACTAGCGAGGAAGTATTGTAATCGCAAAAAAATCGAAAATGAGATATTATGTTTTTTTGTTGTTATTATGACATGCACATCATGAAAAACAATGTCAACAATTTCTGTCGGTCTGTTTGTCTGTCCATTAATTCTTGGCCAGTCTATGTATATATCTTGGAAAGTTCCGCACGGGTATCATGTAAAAAACCTATAAAACGTCAAAAAAACCTATAAGATGTCATCTTGCAAACTAGGTAGTTTTTTTAGGGCGCAAACAGTCATTCCACGTTGTTGTGAACGTCCATCTAAGGAGAAATCACTCAACTAAATAAACTAATCGCATTATTGGTTGCATATGTTTTGTGAGACCAAATGGTTCTTGTCTGTAGTTTTTATCTCTGAGAAGAAAGTTGGTTGAATAGCAAGATCGCATCTGGATGATTATGTGTATTGGTCTGCATGTGTATAAAATCAGTGATATTTGCTGTGTGAGAAAATCATTACTGAAATGCTGCCAATGAAGTATATCTATTGGCTGTGCCCGACGGGTTATTTTTATGTTGTGCTTTCTGAAGAGAGGTTATGTTCAAAGTTATAAATTACGAAAAACTGAGGAAAAGTGGTGTGTGAAAGTTTATTGAACGTATTAAAGAAATCCACTTATAAATAGGGAACACAATTTTGATACATACTTTGTTTTTCTTTTTAAAACCCACACTGCACTTTTTTGTATTTAAAGAAGGTGTTCAAAATGTCGTCCTCCACTTTCCACACAAGCTTCGTTACGACGAACCCAGTTTCTTCTTGCTCTAGGTGCAACTTGTCCATTTATTATTTCAGCCGCTATAACAATTTTTTCGCCAAGTTGTGCTTCAGTTGTTATTGGACCAGCCCCATAAACCATCCCTTTAAGTTCTCCCCAATACCAGAAATCCATCGGATTGAGGTCAGGAGATCTTGCTGGCCATTTTCGAGGATCAGGAGCATTTCGGCCGATCCAGTGATTTGGATAATGTTCATTCAAATAGTGAATGACGCCTCTAAAAATGTATGGTGGTGCCCCGTCATGAAGAAACCACAAATTCTGTCTCCGGTGTAATGGCATGTCGTCTAAGGTCTGTTCCAAAAGTTCTGGTAGGTTATTGGCTGGAAAACTAAGGTATCCTTCTCCTGACAACTTTGGGGGGTAACTCGAAAGCGCCAATTACCTGATCGTCAAGAATACCCGCCCAAATATGATGATTTTCAATGTTTTTGTGCAAAAACCACTGACAGAATGTTAGTCTGCGACGATAGTCTTCTGGTAACAAGGCCTGCACTCGTTGTACATGGTAGGGATGAAGCAAATTTTCCCGTAGGATTCTATGGACTATGGTATGCGAAAGTCCTACGCGGCGGCCTAATTCCCGAGTGCTGATATCTGCATTGATTTCCACGATATTTAAAATTTGTTCCTCCTGCTCTACAGTAACCTGTCTTTCACGAGTGCGAATATTAGTGGGTAGAATACTTTCTGTATCTTGAAGTCCTTGGTACACTTGCACAAATGTCCTTCTGTCTGGGTGTATCCGTTGGCGAAATCTGTCTCGATAAATTTGAGCTGCAAGATTTGAATTCTGACGAGCTTCACCGTAAACTAACAACATGTCGGCGAACTCTTGATTCGAGAACATTGTAAATAAACACGACGATATACGCGAACAAAAACATAACTAACCACTGTTACCATTTGCGATCGATTGCCGGTTCGATAAGAGTGATGAAAGACCGACGCGCTGTTGTCATGTGTGTTTTAAATATTTAATTTAATGAAACTTACTACAAATTTTGGCTTAACTTATAAAAACTTAATGCCATTTATTTGTTAATTACCCAATTTGAAAACGTTTTAGATTAAACTATAAA